CTGTGCAATCGCCCGTTCATAGACATCTCGTACCCGGTCTGGATCGCCCGACGTCTCTTCCAACCGGGCAAAGTCAAACCAGACATCGTAATTTCGCGGGTTCTCCTTGAGCTGTTCCTCGTACTGCACCCGGCGCTTGGACAGAATCACATCCTCGACGCCCTCTCGGTCGCCGAACTGCTTCTCAAACGTGGTGTAGGCCTTGTGAAGCGCCATCGCCTTGGAACGGGGCAGCCGGTCCAGGGCGTACTTGAAGATCGCTCGCGCCCGCTCATACTCCTTGAGCTTCGCCTCGAATTTGGCGTACGCGATGAAGAGCTTCTCGTCCATGAAATCCTCACCCAGAGTCTCGATCGCCATCCCGTACACTTCCCGCACCAACTCACTCGTCCCATACTCCTCCTCGAACCGGGCCCATTTGATCCAATTCCTCGGCTCCGGGTGGACGATCGTAAACCGCTGGAAGATCGCGCGCGCGCGGTCAAACTCATTGTACCGCTTCTCAAGCTTGATATACGCACTCCACGCGCCCTCGTCCGGCTCCCATGACATCCACCGCTCAAACACCTGCCGCGTACCCTGGATATTCCCCAGCGTCTCCTCCATGTACACATACTTGTACCAGAACTTGTCCACGCGGGGCAAGATTGTGACCGCCCGGTCCAGCAAGTTTCTCGCATGGTTGATGTTACGATTCCGCATCTCCGACTCGATATACCGGATCCAGAGCACCACCGAGGTCGGGTTGACGTCCAGCGCCCGTTCGAAAATCGATCGCGCCCGGCGGAATTCCTTTTGCTCCAGTTCCCAAGATGCATACCGCATCCAGTTGTTCATGTTAACCCGATTGCGGCGCACATAGTCTTCAAACTCCTTTCTCTTGCGGCCCTGGTACTCGTGCAGTTCTTCGAGATCCGCGAATCGCTGTGTCGGCGCCTGCAACGCGGGCTCCTGCCGATCAACAGCCTCGCGAAGCAGCTGCTCCGCTGAGATCTGGATCGGCGCGGGGGCCTTGTTCTTGACCCTGGGAGGGCCACGAGACGACTCCATGGCGACGGTGGGTGGTGTGTGTAAGAGGTACGATGGGTCAGGTATCAACCAAGCGGAGATGGCAGGTTCACTTTCTGTCGTACGTGTAGATAAAGTAGCACACACTGAAAAGAAGAAATCGGGCTCGATTAGCAACCAAATCTGGACGTTGGATCCCCAACTCCAGTTGATCGTTGTCGAACAAGTCCGTTGCTTCTTTGGTCCATCAAAAGTCGGAGCTGCGCTCTGGGTCTCTGAAGCTACCCGGATGACTAAGCGATGGTCACTTTCTTAGCGCTGTTCAGTTGTGGCGGGCCGACGACAGTATTTCACCTTGACGAGCTGACACACTTGCTTCAGTGGTTGCCTGTGGTTACATTGCTACCATCATGTCGAACGCGGAGGAACTCTTGAGAGATTTTGAGGATGATGACGAGGAATTCCAGGCCGGTGAGGAGATTGAAGAAGATGTCGGCGAAGAGCTGCAACGGCCAGCGCCAGAGGTCACCAACGAGTTTGACGTCGCCGTGTCGACCACCGACGAACTCACACGCCTTCACAAGAGTCTTCGAGACCACTACTCGGTCAGATTTCCAGAACTAGAAACTCTTGTTACGAATCCTATTGACTACGCAAAAACCGTTGCCATCTTGAAAAATGGCCCCCTTAACGATATCAAGGCCCTCTCGTCCTCGGCCGATAATATGGTCGGCGCGCCACTCAAGTCCATTCTGGACGGTCCCTCGCTCATGGTCGTCACGGTGGAGGGAACGACGACGCGTGGACGCGAGATGACAGAGGCCGAGCTCAAGGTCGTGCTGGATACTTGTGAGAGGATTCTCAAGCTAGATCGCGAGCGGACGGCGCTTACGCAGAGTATTCAGTCGCGCATGAGCCAGATTGCGCCTAATCTTGCCGCTTTGATAGGACCGGAGACTGCGGCCCAATTTCTCAACCAGACCGGTGGGTTGAAGGAGCTGGCCAAGATCCCAGCGTGCAACCTGGCCGCGCAGGGCTCCAAGAGATCGGAAGGATTAGGATTTGCCACGAATATCGGTATCAGATCGCAAGGCTTCCTCTACCACTCGCCCATTATTCAAGATATTCCGAATGATCTAAAGAAACAAGCAATTCGAATCGTCGCGGCTAAGATGGTTCTAGCGACTCGGGCAGATGTGGCCAAGTACAGTCCCGATGGTTCTTTGGGCGAGGAATTGAAACAACAGTGCTATCAACGCTTGGAGAAGTTGACAGAGCCTCCGCCGAACGCTGGTGTGAAGGCGCTTCCCGCTCCTGATGACAAACCTTCTAGGAAGCGAGGTGGACGGAGAGCGAGAAGGGCCAAGGAAGCAATCGCTATGACTGAGCTACGGAAGGCGCAGAACCGGGTTGCATTCGGCAAGGAGGAGGCAGAAGTCGGCTATGGCACCGGCGAAGGCACCGTGGGTCTGGGTATGCTGGGGCAGCAGGACGATGGACGGATCCGGGCGACGCAAATAGACCAGAGAACCCGGGCCAAGCTCAGCAAGTCGAACAAGGGCTGGGGAGCGGCTACCCCCGTCAGCGGGACCGCCTCTTCTCTGCGAGCGTTTGGTTCGGGCGCTGGCGCAGGCGGCACTGCGAGTGTCCTACAGGCCAAAGGTCTACGGACTTCTGGAGTGGGTTCTTCATTGGCAGGCATCGCCGGTACGGCCAGTACGATTGCCTTTACACCTGTGCAGGGTCTCGAGCTGGTTGATCCCAAAGCGCAAGCGGAGCTACAGCGGAAGCGCAAGGCGGAGGAGGATCGATGGTTCAAATCAGGCACATTCACGCAAGTGGGCGGTCAGAGCAGTAGTACCAACAGCGGTGCGAATGGCGGGTTCAAAGTGCCTCCACTACCCGCAAGGAAGAAGGTCGACACCGGCGAGGGCAAGATGGCGCCGCCTCCCCCGCCGGTGAAGCCATAGCTGTTTCCATTATATGTATGTGACTGTTGAGCATTGACGGCGTTGGGGTTCTGTGATCATGATACCAAATAATGATAGACCTTAAATGGAATAAAATATATCCCCACATCATTATTCGTACCCAGTCATTTCCCTGCATTGCCGCAGAGCCGAGTGGCTGGAATATGGAAGGAATATCGGCGAGCCAAGGTTCGGCTTTGTACTGCAACCCCGAACGAGCGCCGAATGGCGTGCGCGGCGCAGAATTTGGCGCAATGGACTGCGCAATCGGTGAGTTATTTGCATTCTCTATTTTAGCATTTACATTTGTGTGATATTCGCATTGCTGAGCATCAAGAAGCATTCTCCGCAGCATATTGTAGACAGTGGATAGTCTCGCCTCTATCCCACTGTGGACACACCTGACGGTATCCATAAGCAGAACGTCAAGCTAGAACCCATGGGGTAAAATACTGATCATGAGTCAAATTCAGGGACGGATGCATCCCTAATACATGTGGGCCGGAGCGTTTCACAAAGCAAAGAACCATCTAGTCAGTATATTGCGTGCTCGGCTCGGCACTGTCGTATAAAATGTGCTTCTCCTACATCGTAGTCAGTTTATTTCCGATCAGGATTGTCCATCGCTAGCATTGCCAGTCAATTGACCCGTAGTCATTCTCAGAACTTATATTCAGGTCGAAGTCGAGGAAGAGGAAGAGGAAGAGCACAGTGTGGTAGACAATCGCACCATGGCCCCCGGGATACAAGACTCGCTGAGCGAGCTCCCAGCAGCAGTCCTCAACGATGAACGGGAACAATTGTCCAGAATAAAACGAAGCAGACGCCCGCTCTCGCTCTTCCACCACAGCCTGGTCACATCCGACATGGATGCGCTGAAATTCCACGCCGCCGCATCCCTCCAGCTGCGCTTCAGCCCCTACCAAGATGTCACCGTCAGCAGCACCACAGAATCAGACTCAGAAGCAGAAACTCAGCTCCTCATCACATCACCCTACAACTCCCCCCTCCACCTCCTCAACCTCCAAACCCTCGACACACCCAACCGCCTCCTCGCCCAGGCCCTCACAATCCTCTGCCCTGTGCGCGCCGACTACGCCACAGCACCTTACACAGACTCCTTCAACTGGCCCTCTGTCTTTGCATTCCTGCGCGATCTGAGCACCCGCGAGGGGCACATCTGGTCCCGAACGAAATTCTACGTCGTTGTCTTCCGGTCGACGTTATTGGCGGGCGCGGATGGGGACAGACTGCATGAGCTGGATGCGCGGTCGCATCAGGAGGCTGTCGCGAGTGGGGGGTTACTTAAGTATTGGTTTGGGACGAAGAATGCGCGGAGGGAGAACCTGGCCACTTGTAAGTTTCCTTCTTTTCTTCATTTGGCGGACTAAGGTTGATGATGGTTGATATAGGTGTCTGGCGGAATCGGGAGGATGCGCATCGGGGAGGGACGGGGCCATGGCATCGGAAGGCGCGAGCAGCGGCTAGAGAGATGTATGAGGAGATTGTATTTACGACGATGGAGCTGGTGGTTGGAGATGAGGTGCGAGAGTGGTCGTTTGGGGAGTGGACTGGTTGATTTGTAGAGATACCCTTTTTAATAAGCATGTAATAGATAGTACTTAACCCAATATACGTGCTTTCTGATGGATGGTCTCATTGGTCCTATAGGCTAAGGCAATAGATTATCAGCAGTACCTATGCTTACTTATATGCAGCAACTAACTATATCGCATGGAGTATGATTCCCCGCATGTGGAGAGAGAATGGACCCATCATGCCCTAAAAGAGTAGTGTTCCACGTCCATGAGGGGAAGGCCATGCATCATCGTGTCGAATATCCGTAGTCTGAACCTGATTCTAAGCGATGGTGTATCAAACTAGAATAGATATGTTTATCGGAAATGGAGGCGGGGAGGGATCTGGGAGAGATATATAGTTCGATCTCAGCCAGATGCTTCAACTCGCAACCACACTCCATTTCTTACTCAAGAAGATATACTCCGTTTCGCTCCGGATCAAATGGTCGGACTCGCAATAGAACACAACATCCAAGTCAACGATGGCCCCTTGACCTCCGAAACCGCCACTCTTCTCCGACCCTCAGACCCCTCCCTCCCCCTGGACGAACTCCGCGCCCGCTACGAACAAGACGGCTATCTTTTCCTCAAACACCTTCTCCCCCGCGAGGACGTCCTCGAAGCCCGCAGACAGTACTTCTCCCTCCTGGCCCCGACCGGCGTTCTCCAAGAAGGCACCGACCCAGTCCAAGGCATCTTCAACACCACCAAGTCGCCCGATGAGTACCCCGGCATCGGCGCCGGCGCGGTAGGCAACAACGGCCGTCCAGGGGGTGACAAGGCCGCGCAGTTTGTGGACCTGGCCATCGAGGCGCACTACCAGGATTGGTACGCGGAGAAGTTCTGCAAACATCCCGATTTGGTCCGGTTTGTGGCCGAGTTCACGGGCTGGGGCGAGCACACGTTGAATCTCCGTCGGACGCTGCTGAGGAATAATACGCCCGGCACGAAACCCATTGGGGTGCACTATGATCAGATCTTCTTGCGATATGGAGAGCCGACGAGTGTCACCGCTTGGGTGCCTATGGGAGATATCAAAATTAATGGCGGGGGCTTGATCTATCTGGAGGATGGTAGGTCATCGTCCGTACCTTGACAGTGCCTTGAGTGTTAGCTGACCGACTAGGCGACCCTGTTGGACTCAAGATCGAGGAAGAGTTCACCAACAAGGCAAAGCAGGCCGGGTTGACCGACGAAGAGGCCAAATCGGCTTTCAACTCGAACATGATGGCGACGGGGCTTTTGTCCGAGTCGCCGGTCGAGTTTGCCAGGCAGCATGCCCGTCGCTGGCTGGTGTCTGCCTACGAGGCGGGTGATGTTGTCTTACACAAACCTCATACAGTATGTCCTCGTCCTATATCCTCCGGTTCCAATGGGATTATCCTAACGAGCGTAGATTCATGCATCGACCATCAACAATGACCCGGATAATGTCATCCGTCTTGCGACTGATCTGCGATTCTGCGACTCTTCCAAGCCGTATGATAATGTATGTTTGCTCCTTGTCACACAAACAAGTGCTAATATGCCTCAGAGATGGATGAGCCATTATAGGTTTGGAGATGGTGTGTGATCATAGCCGGAGGCCCAGAGTAGTTTATTGTCTATCACTGCATAGTCGACAGCAACAATCCACCACTCAAAACGTGCAATGGCATATCCTGTAACAATTAGTTCAGTCTAGTTTCTCTTCATGTGCAGTGATCTTACAACTCTCCATCGCAGTATCCTCCCCTCCACCCATGACCCTGAAGGACACACTGTACGACTTAGCCGAATTCATCAGGCAATAGGCAATAGACAATAGGCAATATAAATACCACATTATGACAAGCCATATTGGCAATCTCGTCGCCGCCTTCGATCTCGCAGGATGTCTCGACGTTTAGCTGATTGACTTGAATAGGTGTGCTCTTTACCAGTTCGCAGAGAAGGCCGAGGAAAAGAATGTTTAGGGTTTTCATTGTGATGTGATGTGTATACTTGTTAATCATTCAAGGACATTTGAATTCTCAAAGAGTTTGCTCGAGAGATTGCGATGGCTCGAATATCAAGGGTCTGATCAAGGGAGTCCTGTCGTCATGAATGTGAAGCAAGGGCGGAGGGTTTTCACACGCAACAGGCTTTTAATCGCGCTCTAGAACCTCCATATCGGTTGAAGATGTGCATCTTACATACAATAATTGAAGGAATAAGATGCCCCAACGTCACATTGATGCGTATTTTCCTGGCCAGTCATCTTCATTGTCTCATCCGGCACCTCGTTTTTGATCTCCCATATTTCTCTCCGCTACGGCATTTATGTTGGTGCGGGATTGGTTCGCTTCTGTCCCATCAATTTCAACCAGGAAAGACTCGATGTGTATGAATTCCGTCACAATGATTTTGTTAGACATGCTGCTTCTATGAAGCACGGCGATTCTATGGCAGACACCTTGGGATAGATCTAATGTCAGTTGCTCCTGCGCCCCACTGCCCGAGTCCTTGCTCTACATCTCCACGACCATATAAAATGAGGTACCGTCGGTTCTGTGTTCCCAGAGCTGATCCACAATCAGTCGAAGTAATTCCTGGGGTCTGCGGCCATTGCGTAATCGAAGGTGAGTTGGTGATGAGGATGGGAGTCCAGGTTAGGGCACAGATCTGCGTGGACGTAGGCTGGATAGTGCGTGTTCCAATCAACCGTTGCTGGTAGTAAAATTGCTACTTAGTATAGAGAGGTAACAACAATTCTATATAATATATGCTAAACCAAGACTAATCATAACATGCAACATATAACACCCATCACTAGAAACGGCCAACATCTATACAATTCACATAGCTGTCCCTACGACCAAGAGACACCCCCAAGAAGCGGAAGCATATACACAACTGAGATCCAAACATTCCACACCCGAAACGTCATCCGATCGCTCGCTGTATCCCGCCACATGAGAATCCTAATGGCTACAGCAAAAGCCAGCACGACGCTCAGGCCAGCAGCAAGGGGTCCAGAGCCCGCCAGAAGCGGACATATGATCCCCCAAACAGGCATCGGAAGTGCAATGCTCCATCGCGCCGCAGCATCCCCAATCACGAGGGGAAGCGTTCGACGGCCCCTCTTCGCGTCGCCTTCCTGATCGCACATGTCCTGCACGTGCATGGTCGTCAGGATAATTGCCGTGATGACCACGATCCAGAGACTGAGCGAGTACTGTCTGGCTCCAGGCGACCCTGCAAATACAGCAGACCCAGAACCAAGCGCTACCTCTACAGCTCCCGAGTTGAAACACAAGTATCCCAATGCGTTGATAATATTTCGGACCACGGGGTTGTGGTCACCCGCTCCGAAGCTGTTGTAGCAGGTGCTTAGGACGATAAGGCCGAGACATTGTCGGTGTCCGCCGCTGTAACAAAAGCTGAAGACCATTGAAAGAGTGTAGAAGCCGAACATCAGGCGTTTTGCCTGGGACCCAGAGAGACGCTTGCTTGGAAGCGGACGCCAGGGTTTATTGAGGCTATCTTCCGCGATAGACGAAGGACTGCGCTGGTTGTTCATCGTCAGGGGAAGAAGATTGATCCCGACCCAGCCAATAACCAGAGGTATTCGACGGACAGTACTTAGGTATGCGGGAGACTGAGACTGTACCTCGCCGAAGCCCAGAGCGGCGAGAGCATTGGTGATGCCAAAGATGGTGCTTGGGAGGAGAATGGTCTGGACATCACTTGCAATGAAGAGCCAGATGGTATATCCGCTTGATGCAAATGCCGATGAGAATTGACAGATATGAAAGTTCGGCCCGCCGACTGACATATCGCTCTGAATTTTTGCTGCGCACTAATATAGGTCAGTATGTATCTTCAACTAATCAGCCTTGACTAACCTTCATCTGTACTATGCTCTCAGAATGATCAAATTCGTCCCAGAGTGGTGTTTATAACTCACACAAGTAGTTGCAGTCTCTTCGGCGTAGGGTATCAGCTAAAGCCATTAATAAGACACCAAGTGTGCTCTACAATAATAGACATAACAGAAATCAGGTACTAGCATGCCTGAGCATCGATTGGCCATTGACTATCTGGGTCCCAAACACTTCCTGACCTTGACTCAGATTTCAGGGGCTAATTCAATGCGCCTTGTCAGTGAGGCCAGCCTGGTGATCTGGATATGATTAGAAGTCCCCCGTGCTCCGACAGGTGCAGTTTTGGATCTAATGACTGATGAATGGCGGTGCTCTCGAGCAGTGCTGAAAAATATAGCCTGGCATTTAGGCGACCTGGGCCTAGGACGTAAGATGAGAACCGACTCATCTTGGTCCTGAGCAAGAATGCCAATTTGGCAATAGGAGATACTCGGACATACGAAAGCCCACAATAAGCTCGATATACTGACAAATGCATTGTCTTCTCAAGGATTGACTTGGACCCATTCCAGGTTTAACCTGGAACACAAGTCATCAATCAGGCCCTAAAGGCATGTCTCAGTTCCGGTCATGTCCCCTGCCATTCTTTTCTCTGATTGAGCTCAGCCGTGCGAGGTTACACATGCGGCGTGGGAGATGCATTCTTTCGGGCTGTGTTAGCTGCGATAATGGGGGTTGGTTTTTTTTTATGCTGAAACAGCTGACAGTCATCTATTGAGGGCGTACATAAGCTGGAAGAATGAAACATATCTTCTGCGCTTGCCAGCCAGAGCAGTGTTCTTGTTGTCGCCAGTTTTGCTTACCATTCTAAAAGTCACAGAATGGCGCAGTGTCTCGAAAGAGGAATGCTTGAGCATCAATATTGGAAAAAAATAGAGCGATTTTGGTCCCTGACTGGAATGATACAGTGACAGCACCGAGTGAGTCAGATTACATGGATACACCCGATTGAAGAGCTGTATCTCCCTGGATGCTTGACAGACGTGGGTTGCTCGGCAGGTGGGAAATGCCGTGCTTTTGCGTACCTGAGGGCCTTGGGCAGCTACCTGGTCTAGTCCTTCACTTATATAGCTCACTTGCTCATATTCGGAGGAAAAATCTCGACCAGCACCTCGTCTCTCCTTCCATTTTCCATCGTTGACTGTCTCTCGACATTATCGAGCAAAAGCGTCATCACCTCATTTCGTCCCTTCGACAATCCAATCCTATCAAATCAAACATGACAATCACGTCTTCCTCTCCAGAATACGTTTTCACCCGGGACTACTTGGACAACAACCGGTATGATCATTCGAACTTTGCTATTCTGCCTTGCTTACATTTGCAGCATCAACCTGCAGCATTATTTGGTCGTCCAACTTTTTGGATACCGCATCCACCCGTCGATCCCCGTCAAGGATGTGAGAAACCTACGGATTGCAGACGTTGGAACTGGTACTGGGTATGTCACAGTCGAATTTGTCGATGGCAGCTACTCACACTGACAGAATCTGGCTTACCGATTTGGCCGACGAATTCCCTGCAACTGTCCAACTGGATGGGCTTGACATCTCCTTCGATGCTGCTCCTCCACGCGACTGGCTCCCGCCCAACATGAGCCTTCACCATTGGGATATCAAGGCCGACGTCCCTGAGCACCTGGTTGGTGTCTATGACGTGGTTAATGTTCGCCATTTCGTCTTTGTTCTCCAACAGGCTGACTTGAAGGGTGTCCTCGACAATCTATTCAAACTTCTCAGTACGTCAAACAGCTTCTACAATTCTCATATTTCTAACAGCTGGTTTACAGAGCCTGGAGGTTATCTTCAGTGGACTGATTTCGACATGTCCTCGCTTCGTGTCGAGAAGATCAATCCAGACATCAAGGTGGACGCGCAGGTCAAGTTAATGGAGCTTTTTCAGGCCAACGATACCCGTCTTCGTTCCGCGTGGGGTGCCAGTCTGCCCTCGCTTTTTGCACAGAGCGGGTTCACCAATGTCGAATCAGACGTGAAGGATGCACCACCGCATTTGGCAGTTGCACTGCATGAGTGTGGGATGTTGGCCACGGAGGTCTTAGCCCGAAACAAAGCAGGTGGGAACGAGCAGATGGTGCAGCAACTTAGACAGACCTTGGCCGAGGCTGCAAAGGAGACTCGGGAGGGATCTGTTCTGGCTTTTACTAGACTCACTGTCGTTGGTCAGAAGCTGAGCCAGTAGACTGCCTTTAGCCTGGTAGGTATCGAACCGTCACGCATCGGTAGGCTTTGGAGGTAGTCTCATAGTTTTTCACATGATATCATGCCTCTGCTTAGAGAATGATGTAGGTATACTCATAAGACGATGATGCGCCGTCGCTTCACCTCGCGATCGCCGTCGCCATCGCTCAATGCTTACACCCCTTTTGTGATACAATAATTCCAAATTTGACCAAGCCCCGAAGGGTGAGCCGATTCAGCCTCAACTTCAGGAATGTAGCCCCGTATCACGCAAGGGAGTACGGACGAGAAATACCGACATGGGTATAATGTGTACTCCTATTCCTACATCTTACCCCTCACAGAATGTGTCATCTCGTCGGTCATTGCGAAGGTTGGTCGCACAAAGCCAGCGCAAAAACTCTTCGGAATGGCATTCTGCACTACCACTGGGGATATTCATAACCTCGATGCCTTCCTGGCAAAAGCAA